TAAAGAAAAGATGGCATCACTGACAAGGCTCATCAACACTTGCCTTTTCAAAGCCACAATTCCCACAGGAATCAAAGCCCTGAGTGGCAGGATGAGCCAGTCACTTACCAGGTTTTGTTTGCCATGAAGGGAAGAGAATGTCGGGGGGGGAAAGGCGTGATTCATCTTTTAAAAAGCCTTGCGGCTGTGCTGTTGTTATAGTAATCCACTATTCTCCCTCCTGTCTAGTCTGCGAGTGATGTGACTGAAACTGTATTGGGCTCACTGTAGCCACCTGGAGTGAGCCAATTCTAACTGGGACCATAAATCCTGGGGGCAGCCTGTTTGTTTGAGGTTGTTTGCACTCAGTGTAAAGAAAACTTACTCAGAGTTTCCCGTTGTAGTTTTCTTTTTAAGAATATCTGACCTTCTAGCCAAAAGTAGAAGAAGCTGACCTTGAAAGTCAAGATGATTTCATAATGTTTTTACCAAATTTAGCATTCTAAAACTACATGCGACAGAAATTAATTGTTCAAAATGGAAACCAGAATTCTGAATTTTATTACTAAAGTTGTCAAAATAATGAAATATAAACTAATATTCAGGCCAGTGAACAAAGAGGCTATGACGTTTGAAAAAGTGTTCATTTCTTTTGAAAAGATTTTAAATAAAAGTGAAAGATCAAGAAAAGAAAACACCAAAATAAGCTAATTTCAGAAATGCGTATAGAGTGAGCCTGTTATACATTTTCAACAAGGTTCTCATAGGTTATTTTTGCTTGGCAGTAGAGCTGGACAATAAATTAATACATATTGTGATAGAGACGTCATAAAAATCTTTAAATAATATGTTTCATCAAATGTTCAATAGTCAAAAGTTGGTGGCATCAATTCACTCACTCACACGTTAGTTACCTAGCAACAACTTGTTGAATAACTTATGTAACAGCAGCCATTATGCTTCATACCTGCTCAAAAATAACAAAGAGAGCCATGGATCAATAATTATTTCTATTCAATGATGTGAAACGCTTGTATTATGACACAGTTTTCAGCCATATTGTCCAGCCCTGACCAAAGCTAGTTTCTAATTACCCTAAAAGTAGAAACTTAAAATAAAAGATAAAAACACCTCATCCAGTGTAAAAATGTTTTTTGAAAAACATGAGTTTTCCGAAATTGGCATGTTTCCATTACATTAATTTATTTTCATAATTCTAATTTGTACATTTATATGGTCAAACAGGAACACTTTAGTGTTCCTGTTGAAAAAATGTCCAATGAGTAACATTTTCTATTTTTATTTGGGATAAATACATCTGGAAATTCCTTTTATTATGTTCTCATGTACAGATGACTGACTGCTCGAAGCAACACTGCACTTAAAATGGGGACTAAAAGTGTAAGAGCAAAATCGTGGAACGTTTTTGTAAAAACAAGGGTATACTTGTGGAAATCTCCTCCATACCTTCACCTTATATGAAAGTAGCTCCCTTAATTCACAGAATAGTTGCAGTAAGTGAAATGTGTGATGCAAATTGCACTTTTTGCTGTGTCAAATATTAGCAATACTACAAATTGCTGAGCAACATATCCCATTAAAATGTATGCTGTGTTTTGAGTGTGACTGATACACACACAAGCATTCACACTTCAGTTGACACAACACATCAGGGGTACTTGTCACTGGTGTCAAATGAGGATTAAAGAGATTAAAACTGTTCATTTTTAGTGGGGTTATCACAATATCTGCATCAGATGCAAGTTTGACTTGTAGCATTCAGGTATGTGCTTAGAGGAAACAACACATTGACTGAACCACTGGGCGCCAATGATGGCCCAATTAACCCTGAGACTCTTTCATCCAAACATGCACTATTATAAAAACAAGCCGTGTCAGAGGGACCAGTTTTTCATTTCAGAACATCTGCAGTTCATCTCGGATTACTACTGGGCTGCTGATGGCCTGTGCGCAACGAGGGGCCCTCCATCATTTTTATAGGTGGTCACTGACGCTCAGAGCAACTGGTAATATCAGCTTCTAAATGGTAAATGATTGTTCTGTCTGCTTATTACTACAATGGTTTTTATGGGTGTGTTTAAGCAAACATTTTTTTTTATTTTTTCATCACAGATAGGTATTTTGTTTTCCTAAATAAAAAGAACCACAGGCAATGTTAATTTGGATCAATTCTTCTACAGAAGGAGAAGATCTAGAAAAGCTACTTCTTTCTGCAGCTCTCCCATGTGTTCTGCCCTTTGTTTTCAGAACTGGTTTTATTGAAGGAAAGAAAGGAAAAGGGGCAGCACAGAAAGTGAACAGAGACAGTTCTACAACTAAAGAGTATCTCAGCCTAAAGAGAATTATGACCATCTGTTTAAACATGTTTAAGGTTAAAGAAAGATTAGCTATGTCTCACACACTTTAACAAATTAACCTTTAAAACTTGTGTAAGAAGAAACTTACTAATTCTATCAATCACAGCACTAAAACACCCTAAACATAATTTAAATGTTTTTTTAGTCTAACTATTCCTGATCAAATAAGTGCTAATCAGGAAATGTAACCTGAATGGACACTAAATAGAGTTATCTTATAATTTATAGTGATATGAAAACTGCAACCACTGCTTTAAAGCAATGGTATTGAATCGTTTACATCACTGCCTGGTACCCAGAACCAGTGAGGGAAACGACAAAATAAACTCCAAAGTTGACACGAGCACAACTTCCTTTTCACAAAATGTAGACAAAAATTCAGTAGCATTAGACTGCAGCAGTAGGATTTGCAAGAGTTCCTTTGTTTTTGGCAACAGATCACAAGCTATTTCTCCTGCTAGCGTTAGACTACTGCATTTGTACCAGTTGCAGTTACCCATTATGCCCTGCGCTGGAGTCTGCTTCCTGCTTTTGGAGTGCTCTCCGGCCTGCTTGCACCACATATGCATTTGAATCGTCCCAGACTTCACTTCAACCAAACCGAGACTGAGGCTTTAAGGCAGACTTAAAGCCTCTAAACAAATGACTTGGAGTTCAACTAAAACAGACTAAACTGGACTGGTGTGAATGCACCATTGATAGGTTAAATAATTTGAAGATTCATTCCTCATTTTGATATTAAAAGGTGTTTTATGAGCTAAATGAGGTTTGCAAGGGAGGAAAATACTTTTTTTTTCTTTTCTTTAAGGTGTGAACACTTAATTGTGCAACGTAACGGTGTTCATCTAAACCCATCCAGAGTCTGAAAATACTGATATTTTTGTACATCTGGTGTGATTTATTCTGCGTATGTTAATATTCCAGAATGCTGCACTTGCCAGATTAAACCGGGCATCTGACCAGAACATTTCAAACTCCAGCACTGGCTGTTTGAGCTTCTTCAGAATTAAGTGAGCTTCCTCATTTCCCTTCAACACCATCCATGAAAGTATTGATGGGAAGAGAATCTCTGAAAGAGACCACAAGCTGGTTTTCACTTCAAGCTAGCTGGAACTGTTAACTCATGTACTACTGGAAGATCTATGGTCGAGTTTTGGGGAACATTATGAAATAAATGTATAAATAAGGTAAGAAATGTCATGTTTGACATATTAGTGAGGCTTTTTTAATTTCAGACAATACTTCTTGTTTTATAGTATGTCTGATAAATAAAACTACATGTATCATCCGATAAGTAGGAGGATACCACCTTTAAAGTTGCATCACCTTTGAAGAAAAAAGAAAAAACTAACTTTGGACACAGTAAACAAGTAGACTGAGATTCCCATGGTGAACAAGGTGGTTGCAGCATCATAATGTGGGAATATTGTCCTTAAACAACAATAAGGAGACTTGTCATGTGCAAAACTACAGTAAAACAGTTCAAACAAAAATACTCCTGCAATTTGACTGAGCTGGAGCTATTTTACAAAGATGTTTGAACAAAATTTCTTCAGGTATGAAAAGCCTTCCAGGAGTATTGCCTCTGAAAAGGTAGAATATAAATGTGCAGCACACGTTTTAAAATCGAGTATCATTTTGCTTCCATATGTTTTGCCATATCACTTAAAATCCTATTGAAATACATTGTGGTTTTAATGTGCCAATATTTGGTTTGCATTATAAATAGATGCTACCTTTACTAATAATTAAGTTGTTAATATCTAGACTACACTAAATATGGCATTAACTGCAATACCCAGAAAGTAAGAGCTCTAAAAATCCCCAGGGCCCCAATTAAGAGAAGGGAAAAGCCATCAAAATTAACCCTCACAGCCACTTCTTCTGCTTTCTAGTGAAGAACACAGACTTGCATTTGTTGGATTTAGACAGCAGAAGGCAACTCCTTCCCACAGATAAGGTTTCCTTCACCCACTGCAGCCCGAACACTCACGATGAGAGGTGAGCACCTTTAAAGGATGCCATGCAAACTGGCAGCCATACGGCTCTCCCTGCGCACAGCCGAACCCCGTCAATGCAACATGAACGAGGACACCTGCATCGCATCTTTCCACGCACATCTGCACAGAAACCTAAACACAAGACATACATTTCCTTCTTTTTTGTCCCCCCTCTAGACGGAAGTGGACGGAGACTGTAGTCGGATAGACTTCAAATAGAAGCTGCAGTCCCCCAGAGTGGACTCCTGTTTCCTGCAGTGCGCGTAAATCCCAGTCTGGCCACACATTGAAGATGGTGTTGATGGAGGGAATCGGGCACCCCCCTAGACTCTTACTCTGTTATTCAGCCTGTCAATCATTCATAACTCCACTGAGGCGTTGTGTGCGCTCATTAGAGGAGAAAAAAAAACCCTGGTGCGCACAGTCCGCCCCGTTCTGTACGCTGGCACAGTCAAAACTCGCCTCGCCAAACGCACTTCATTTCATTTAGCTCGACTCCAATCTAATTGTCCGGCTGAAGCCAATTTGCGGGGATGCACACGCCCGTCTAAAGCCGCGCGCACAGGCGCAAATGTCAACTTCCAATCGCTCCCATGCACAGACGGTAAAAAAAAAAGAGAGAAAAACTTGTTCATCTCCTTACCTGTCCGCGCGCACCCTCCTCAACACACGCGACAGCTTCCGAACGCAGAAAAGCGAAGCACGAGTTAAGAGTTTGTTCCGTATTTATCCACACTCCTCCGGTTTCCCGCCTCGGTCAGCCCGCTGCCATCCTCACAGGGGCAAAGCTTCTGTGCGCGGCTTGCAGAGAGCCCACTCTCTGCTCTCCTCTTCTCTCCGATCCGCGTGTGTGCGCGCGAACGACCGCGCGAGCGCAGGCACCGGCTGTGCGCACGTTCTCCAATAGAGCGCGGATACTGCGGCGGCTCAGGCCGACAGACGGCCCCCCATTGGTCCCTTTGCAGCTCAATCCGCAACTGCAACACACGGATCCTCTTCTCTCCTACCTCCCTTTCTCTCCATTATCTCCCCCTCATCCTCAGCTCCTGTCTTTCTCTGTTAACACGTGATTATATAAGATAGTGATCAGGAAGTGATACCTTAGCTTCCCCCCCCTCCTGTTCCTCCTTTCCTATTTTCTCACACACTCACACGCGCGCACACGGACCACCTTCCAAGGGTGTCCCAACTGAATGCAGAGCATCACAAGCCTGAATGGAAAGACGGATGTGCCTTGAAGGAGGAAAAATAAATGAATTTACTTTTTAATGGCTTAATATGTTTCTTAGATTTACATACATTTAATTAAATTAAACACCTAGTTTTTTTTCTCTCTGAGGTTAAATCAGATCAAACTTCTCTTGTTTAAAGCCAGCTTGAATTATCATAATGATTTATATTTTCTAAAAGCCAAAATAATGAAGGAAATAATGTGTCCTCATTGACAGACGTTTACATACAGAATGATGACTATCTCTAAACAATGGGGGAAAGCCCATTGACTGGCACTTTTGAGTTAATTGGAGGCTCACCTGTGGAGGCATTTTAACAGCTGGAACAAACTGCTTTCTGGTTTGACACGATGAGAAAGTCACAAGAAACCAGCGACGATATCAAGAGGAGGGTGTGGAGAAAAATGGTGATGCTGGTAACTCATGTTATATCACCCCAACTGTGGGGGGGGCAGCATCATGCTGTGGGGATGTGGTGCACTTCATCACATAAAACATAATAAGTAGAAATATTGAAGCAACATCTAATGTCAACAATATCCCCAAACAAACAGTCAAAATGGTTACAAAATGGCTTAAGGACAACAAAGTCAATCGTTAAATTATGGCCATAATGCAACTGGGAATTTATGAGCAGATCTGGAAGTTCATGTGACTCAGACAGCATACAAACCTTCTCAGGAGGAACGGGCCAGGAGTCCAACAACTATGAGGCGTTTGTGGGAGGAAACCCAAAATGTTTGCCCCAGGTCACAGTTACAGGAAATTTACGTAGGACTCTGGTTTTAAAAACATTAGTCAATAAATCTGAGGTATACTTTCATCATTAAAAAAATGTGTTTATTTGAACTGACATGAAACAGGAAAGGTATGCTTTCATTTAATGTAAAAATGTATATATATTACATTAAATTTTATTTAAGATATGTAAATAATGACATATCTTCTACTGCAGCATATGTATAATATTCATTTAACATCTACTATATTCATGGCTACTGAAAGTAATAAAGTATTTTTACTCAAACATTGAGAGTTGTCCCAATTTCCTGAGGAATAGAGAGGAAAGTCCTCTTTATCTTTCTAAGTGAAAGGATGTTTGTGCTCCAGTTACTTTAAGTCCAAATTGGAAATAATGACCGTTTCTGAGGATCAAAATAATAAGGGAAGACCGGGGGGTGAACCGGGGGGTGGCCAGCGTCCTTCCACTTCTTCCACCTGAGAGCTTGTGGCCGTGGAAGCTGGCAGCTGCGTTTGTGACGTTTAATGATCGGCGTTCTATTTCAGGACCTTTAAAAATAGTAGCAAGATGTACGCAGTCTAAGAATAAAACAGTTCTCAAAAAAAAAATGTTGAAGAAGCGCTGGGGATTCGGTTTTAATTTTTATTGTCCAGAACCTCGATAGTGCCACTAGCAAAGCACAGCTTCCAATTATTTTTGTGAGTTCAGAAGAACTCGGGGACCTGTGGGTCTTCATCTGAGCTGCAAAAGTCTAAATGTTCATAAAGTTTAATTTGCTTTGCTGGGCTTTGCTCTAGAGGGAAATATGTACTTTAAATTCAAGGACATTTTTCACAACATTAAAGTAATGTACTTAACAAACCTTAAAATGGCAGGGAGATAAACAAAAAGTGGAAAGAGGAATAAAGAAGTTACAGTTTACACCTTTCATCCCAATGCACATGCAATAAATGTAACTGATTATACAGTTGGACCTTGTTGCAGACTTAGGGACCACAACTGTTTGCTAGTAACTAAAATCCACAAATACTTGAAACTCCCTCTTCAAACACCAAACATAGCTTATTATTTACACCGTGGAAACAATCCTGACACTAAAACCACAGAGGCTAACACCTCGGGTCTTTCTTGTCTCTTTACTTATACAGAAAATGTATTTTGAGAAAAGTTATTTGTTTCACCTCTAGAAATGGAGCAAAACCAAAGAGTTTAAGAAGGAGTATGCTGGCCTTTCAAAATAAAGCTCATAGCAGTTCTGCAAAGCAAAAGATGAAATCTTTAATGGTTAAAACTGTGCAAAATTAGGTTTCGGATTTTTAAATCAAACAATATCAAAACAAAAATTGGAATATCACTTGCATTGTTTCTTTGACTTTATTGACTACTTCTTGTCTAGTTACGACTGCAACTATTTTATTACCCTTAAAATAACACAAAGCTATCTTACAAGTAACATTTGAGAGAAATATAGCAGCTTGTTTTAAGAAAATATAGCAAAAAATAAAAATAAATATCCTAGTTCCGCAAGCAGATTATTTCATTATAACAAGACATTTTTCCCATGTTATAAGTGAAATAATCTCCCAGTACTTTTTCATCAGTATTAAGGACAAGCTCTCAAATGTTACTCAGATTTTTGCACTAGAAATTAGACCAAAAATACTTCTGCTGCGTAGTAGAGAATCAGAGCTAAACAGAGAAGCCCAGAGACATTTTGCAGTAGGATGAAAGAGAACACATGCAGCTAGTCGCAGCAAAAGCTCGGTCCAAAGCTTCATCCAGGAGAGAGACAGGGTTAAACACATTCTGGTGTATCCTCGATGTAAGGAGAGGAACATGAATGTTGAAAATAATCTAAGGAATTTTTGAAAACGAATGAGTCCATATATTACATTTTGATGGAAATAAAGTCAATTAACAGATAAAATTGTTGCTCTTATGCTAAGTATTATTTTTCTTTTCACACATCATTTCTTATTTTGGCAACCGTTCCTCCACGCTCTGCAGCCATCACTTTTCAGTTTAATTGTTCACACTCTCCTCCTTTCCAGTGCTAACAGCACTTTTTAGACCCTTTTTTAAAATCGAGCTGGGTAATTTTTTTGACTTTCGTTCTTTTCTATTCTCCGTCAGTCAGTCAGTCTCCCACCCACCCACACTTTGAAACACTCATTCACGTCACACAGGTACCCTTGGGCCAGCTGTTGAGTCTGCTTATGAATTCAGCCATGCTTTTGCTCTCTCTGGATCCAAAGGGAAACTAAATGAATAATGAAGACAGCAGCGAAATGGGCAAGTGGAGGTGGAGGATAAGCACAAGAGTGAGGGAGAGGGGCCACTTGGGATGAGAACACGATGGAGAGATGAAAGGAGGGAGGGGTGACTTGTTAGTATTCACCCATCAATTAACCGGTGGTGGAGGCATGAAGAGAATGGAGGCCACTGCGTCGTGGACAGGGACATGAGGAGAGGGGCTGCATGCCTATAAACCACAGAGAGCGCTGGCTGAGGAAACAGATTAGGCACCAGAGACGAGGAGGGGAGAAGTGTGATGAGGATCTGGAGGAAAGTGGACGTGGGGAGGCGTGGAGAGATGAGGAGAGATGAGGAGAGACGAGAAGAAACGAGGAGAGACGGGGGTCTCCGAGGCGTCAGCGGCTCCTCAGCACACTGCCTCCAGCCTCATCTATCATCCAAGCCCAGTTCCTTCTGCCAACACAAGTTCGTCTCTGGTCCACGTCCAGAGCTGGCATGAAGCTTCAAGAACTCCACAAAGTGGATGTGTTCGGCATGTTAAGTCAAAGTAATGACTCTTCTTGTAATAGGCAGACAGGTGTTTTGATTCAGAGCTCCAAAGCCTAGAAAAGGGGATCCGATTGTTGGAAATTGACTTTTTTTTTTATAAACATGGAAGATATTTGGGCTGCACTTTACAGCTTGACCTAAATTTGGAGGATTACATAGAGGACTACAGATCTACATTGATCTAATATGAGGATAAAGACAGCATGGGGGGACAAAAATGTCACAATATGAGCAACTACATTATGGTGTCCAAAGTGCGGCCTGGGGACCTTTTGTGGCTCCTGCACTGATTTTTTTCTGGTCCCCAGCTGCAGTTCAAGAAGGATGCAAATTTGTTTCTTAAACGTTTAGTTTTTAATCAGGGTAAAATTATTACCAAAACATTGAGTACAAAACAAAATACTCATCTTTTTACAACCAAGCTTTTGTAATAAGTAGAACCAAATTTATCCAAATTATTTATTAAACTTGGCATAACAAGCATTTTGACAGAAAATGACCCGAATCTTGGTTTTACAACATAATTAATTTGTTACATTAAACCTCAAAGAATTAGAAAACAAGCTGCCTTTTCTTAAACACTTAAAAGGTGATGAGACCCGTTTCTCCGAGACAACCTCTTAAAACAAGAGACAAACCGCGGCATTAGATTATTACAAAATGTGTATTGCTGTTCATAAATGCAACACAGGATCAGCGATGTTGTGGTCTTGACTTCCCTTGTTGGGAAACTTGTAAACTGGAGTTATAACCCATTACTGGGTTTTTCATCAGGCAATAACCTAAAACAAATGATCAAATCAACACAGAAACAGCTCTCCAGAGACACAATCTACCTTACTCTATGCACGATTTAGTCTTTTGACCTAAATCCTGTTAGATATCTGTGAAGGGAGTGGAAACAGAGTGCTAAAGAAAGGATGCAGAACTCTAGACAGAACATGAAATGAAGAAAGGTTCAATATTTCTTTCCCTGCTGCTCCACACTCACAAAATCCAATGAGAAAAAGCTGAATCCTGCCTTATTGACAGAGGAGAGCTGTAGAAAACATTTACAGCAGGGGGCCCAACAATTATGACAGCGGTCGTTTTGTAAAGAGATGTTTATCTGTATTTTTTAACAACATTTTAAGGGAAAATCCTG